CTCTTATTTCTCTGATTTTACAGAATATAAAACTGCCTGGCTGGTGGGGGCAAGGGGTGCTGATGCCAGGGCCACTCCATTTGTTAGTGGTTGCGTTGAAACTGGAATCCAGGTCCCCCATGTTCCTTCTGCAAGATCGCACAGCCTCACCCTGGCTGGGTTATTTGTTTATTTATTTATTTCTGGCTGCGTTTTTCATTCATTGCTGCTCCCTCAGAGACCTGGCAGCCATGGCAGGGTTCCTGAGGGTGAGAGGTGTGTCCCGGGCATGGCCCTCTGGCCCTGTGGAAGACAGGCTGGCTCTGCTGGGGTCGGGTAGTGTGGCTGCCGGCTGGGGAGCATCAGAAGCCACATCTCCAGCTGCCATATGTGTCCTCCTGGGCCCAGGTGCCATTGGACACAAGGTCTCTGCCTCCAGGGCCTCCCAGGAGTGAGCAGGCCAGGCCTGAGCTGTGGTTTTCATCTAAGGTAGAGGAGCTGGCCCACTCGCTTGTTTCTGCCCTAATCCCTGGTGATTTTGTTCTGTTCCTCTAATCCGGATGTGGGAGCCTCTCCAGATATTTACAGTTAAATCCCAGGACAGGAACACTCAGCTGGGCCCCTGGCTCTGCTCCCTCCTGCGTCGCTCGGAGCCAGGGCTGTACGGTGTGCGGAGGCCGCGGGGGCGCCTGTCAGCAGACCTGGGGCCTCTTGTAGACGCTGGGAGGACAGAAGGGGGACAGAGCGCGTGCTCCGCTCTGGATCGCGGGACCAGCTGGGGTTGATTCTCAGCGACCCTCTGAACCTAAGGCTCTGGGCGTATCCGTGTGTTTGCAGGTGCCTAAGCCACAGGCAGTGTGTTGGTGGTGGTGGTAACGGAGGGGGACGTTCCAGGTGCCCGAGCCCGCCAGTCCCATCCAGCATTTGTGTTTCTATCGACCTGGGTGAACATGGGGGATGACTGGGCCTGCTGTCCATCCAGGGGACTTGTTCCTGCCGTGATTTGTTTCTCCAGAAACTTCCAAATGCCTCTGGGCCACGGACCTGTGAGTGGCTCCAGAGCCCCTGAAAGTGTGCTGGTTAGACCCCTGAAGGCCAAGGGTCTGTGCCACGTGCACGGGTCCCTCGGGGAGGAGGAGTGGGCAGGGTGGGCCTCTCACTCGGCGCCCCTAGAGTTTCCAGCTGGAGAGCACTTGTGAGGAGGGCTGTCCTCCTGTGGGTGGGGGTCCTGGGGGCCCCTCTGCTGACTGGCACATTTGTGCCTCTGGTTGAGGGCAGCCTCTCCTGGCCTGTGCCCTGATGCTCCGCCCCAGACAGGGCACAGGAAGTTGGCCAGCCTCTCCCTCAGGGATCTGCGTGCCCCATCAGGAGCCACCGAGGCCGGGGCTCTCGGGGGCAGCCAGGCGTCAGGACGTTCCTCACGGGGCCCCGGGCCCTGCAGCCAGGACTGAGTCCGAGGTGTGGAGGGGTCAGCCACTGTCCTGTGGCTGGTTGGCCTCGTGCGTGGGAGAGGTCACGGTCACTCACTCGATCACACAGAATCTGCAAAATGCCCATTCCAGGGCCAATCAGGGTCATCTTGGTATCTCAGCCTGGTGCTAAAGCATCTGTTTAAAGCATGGGGTTTCTTTCCTAAGAGGGACAGAGAGAGGGCAGATAAGATCAGCTGGTCAAGTTGGCAGGTCCTGGGCCTCTGCAGTGTCCTGGGGGTGTGTTTTCTTCAGGCTCGGAGGACAGCTCGAGACATGGGTCGCTGAGTGGCCCAGATGGATACTTGGACTAAAGCTAAAATTACTTCAGAGCAGAAAAACTTCCTGCTGCTCTCTGCTCTCTATAAAATCATGTTTACACATATGTGTGCGCGCACACGCACACATATACACACATGGGTGGACTGGGCCTGGAGCCCAGAGAGCAGCAGCGAGGGCAGGCACCAGACCAGATGCGTGCTGGGGGCGGGAGCGGGAGTTGGGCTGCTGCCCACACAGCCCTTTCTCAGGGGGCTGGGGCCAGGGCTCCGGCAGAGTGAGTGTCTGCATATCGATGGCTGTTGGGGAGCCGAGAAAGCGGCTTGGAAAATGTCCTTATTGGGTATTTGCCGCTCCAGCCTCGTTGGGGTCAGTGCCACGTGTGGGCAGCTGGCTCTGCTGCCTGTCATTGCGGGGGCTGGGGGGGGGTTGCTGCTTGCACCCACTGTGCCCAGCGGGGCGGCCCCCTACCTCCTGTGTGCTCCGCGCTGTGCTATGGGTTTTTGACTGTGTGCATCCACTTAGCCTCACCGTCTGAGTGGTAGGGCCGGGTCCCCATTTCAGTGCAAGGGGAGAGGCCAGGCGAAGTTGGCATTGTGAGGGGGTGGCAGGACTGTTGGGCAGCATCACCGCTGCTACCCTGAGCAAGCCGCCTCAGGGAGCCCATCGCTGTGTGTTCTGTGAGGTCCTGTGTGTAGAAGGCGTGATTCATAGATGGTGTGGCCGGACCAGGGAAGAGGAGGCGGCTTTGGGAAGCCCATGACAGTGTTCCACCAAAGGTCTTCCCTCGACCACAGCTCTGGGGGCATCCTCAGGCTAGAGGTAGTACCGGGACAGGAATGCGCTGGTGACTGTACCGCCTTGAGGCCGGTACCACCTCATCCCCCAAAGCCTTCCTCCTCCACTTCATTGCTGTCCTTCATTTCAGCCGAAGCTTCTGAAGAAGTCTTCACTTCCCAGCCCTGCTTTTTCGGGAGCCTGGTGTTTCTGCCCGGCTCCTTGGTCTGCCTCTTAAGTCTCCTGCCTCTTTCCCCCGACAGAATAGCTGACCTCTCCTGAAAGCCGTGTAAGTGGCCAGACCAGGCACACCTCACCCTGCCTTCTCAGCAAATGTGGATGCCACAGCCCTGGGCCAGCCTCCTGCACGCCGAGCCTCGTGGCCCAGCTGTGGGCTCAGAGCGGGCCCTGGGGCTTGGAGAAGGCCTGGTGGCTGCTCTCCCTGCCTTTTGTAACATCTATAGTCCGCCCCAGCCAAGCGCTAACCAGGACCTGCTGTGAGCTGACGTCAGGACAGAGGGCCCCGCAGGCCCGGCTTTGATGTTTCCCAGGCCCTATCGAGGGGGCGCAGGGGGCTCTGAGTGGCAGTCTGGGAATGCAGCATCTCTCACCACAGCCACGGGGCAGCCCCAGCCCCAGGAGGGGATGCTGGAGGCCAGGCTGGGTCCCCTCTGAGTCAGGCCATTTCTTCTCCCAGCTCAGGTTTCTGTGGCCACTGGTCTGTGGTTCCTGCAGCCCATGGCCCTGCATCCCACCCATCCAGCTTCTCTGCTGTGGCCGCTCCGGCCCGTCCAGGATCTGGGAGCGGTCTGGGCCCTGGGTGGGGGTGGGGGGGTGGGAGGAGCGTTCTCATGTTCTCAAAATGCAAGACCTTGGGCAGGAAGGGTGATCGCGGTAGTAATAATGGCAGCTGCCACTTACCAAGGTGGCTCTGTCCGAGGCACTTCTGCGCCAGGAAAGACACACAAAGTGTGAGGGTCAGGCTTTGAGCTGCACCTGTCTGATTCCAAACCTTAACTAACGCTCCTTCCTCTGCTCCCCTGTGTGGTGAGACCCCGGGCTCCGCACGGTGTCTGGAGTAGCTGAGTGCAGAAGTGGGGGTTCACCTATGCTTCGAGGCAGGTCATCTCTCTTTGGCCTTCGACAAGCATCCTGGAGTTCGGGGTCTGTGGTCCCAAGATTGTGGCGAGTCACGCTCCAAGAGGCCCTAGTGGGCCTTTGTGTCATAGAGGCGGTCAGGGAGGGCTCAGGAGCCGCCATGTTTGCCATCTCTTCCTTTGAGGTCACCTCAGTTCACCCAGTCGTCAGCTGAGCGCCTTTGTGTGCCTGGCTTTTGTCTGCAAGCGGTGTGTCCACCTCTCTCCCTGGCCGTGGGGAGTGAGAGGATCGTTGTGGGATCAGATACTTCCAGGGTTAGTTTTCAATTCCTGGGCGGGGCTGGGCAAAGTGTGGGGCTCCGGTCCTGGTCCTGGCTCTGCCACAATTACCTGTCTGATCTTGGGTAAGCGCCTTCATCTCCCTGGACCTCAGTTTACCCATCTGTACTACAAAGGGATTGTACCAAGTTGCCCAGCAGGGGGAGGGCCACACTCCCATGCAGTGTTTGGAAGTGAGTGGTGGGTGTTGGGTTGTCAGGGTGCGTGGGGGTGCTTAGTGCCCAGGGAGCCGATTGGTTAACTTGCAAAGGGGGTGTGATAGCCCAGCATGGTGGGTGGGGATTGTCCCATGTAGAGAGCCAGCAGGACCCCATTGAGAAGTCATGGGGGTGCTCTGAGCCGTTTCCAGCCCCGGGCATCGTGTGGCCTGGCCCCTCTGGGAATGTTGGGGGATGGAAAGACCAACACCAGGGGCAGCTGCTCATCTGGGCCCAGCCCTGTGGGGTCTGAAATCAGCTTCTAGCTGTTTGGGAGGGAATGGGCAGGACCCACTAGCCTCCTTGTTCTAATTGCCATTGTGGGGCCCAGCTTGGCCAGAGGCAGAGCCTGCTGCTTCAGGTAGCAGCCCCAGGTGGTCCACTCCCTCTTCCTGGAGGGGCAGCACGTCCCCCTCTGCTGTCACCCACCCCCGGCTGGTCTTCCCGGCCCAGCAGCTTTGGGCCTCTGCAGGGAGCGCACGTGGGCCAGGAACAAAGCCCAGTGTGTTATTCCTGCTGCTGTAACCATGCCACCTGCCTGGCCCTGCCCTCCGCCTCGCAGACCCATCTGCTGCTCAGCACGGGCTCCTCACTCTTCCCTTTGTTCTCACTGGCTGTGGTTCACCTTGGTGGCGGGCCCCCCTTCTCTGAGGGGCCCGGGGCCAGCACTGAGCTGTAGCCGTGCAGGAAGGGGAATGGATTCCAGTGAAAGCCTGGACCCACTTGGCTGTGCTCTCAGCTTAGCACGGGAAATCCAGCCTTGGTCACACATGGGTTCTTAGGGGTAGAGGGGGAGTGAGGGGGTGGCCCTGGCATGTCTTTGGGAATAGCCCGAGTTCTAGGGAGTATTGGCTTCTCCCGTGATGGGGCGGGTTCTCCCGGAGAAGCCCCGGGACACGGGGCTGCGGAGTCCTGTGGGTGGGATTCAAAGCTCCCTCCCTGACCCGTGGACCCCCAGTCATCCTTGGAAGATGCTCTTTGGATCATGATCTAATTTAAATTTGCTCAGCATCCTGGATGCTGAAGGCAGTGAGGAGGGTTGCCTGCTAATGTCCCCTGTTTCCCAGCCCAGCATCAAGACCTCCTATGATCTGGTCCCCAGGTCCGGGGCCCCTTCCTCTGGGTGGCCATCAGCACCCCCACCCAACCCTTGGGCTTCCTCCCTCTCCTGTGCTCTGGAGCCCCTGACTGCCCACACCGCTCGCCATGAATCTCGCTGTGGCCTGTGGAATTGCCCTGTGCCCCCTTCAGACGGGCCTCCCGTGGAGCACCCAGCACAGTTTAAAAGCTCCTCATTGGACACTTGGGAACTGTGGTCTCATGAGCCTTCCCACCTGCACTATTGGACGTTGGACGCCGCCTGTGTACACAGCCCCTTTTCCCTCCTGTGCATAAGGGGCGAGGGGCGACCTGTGTGAGGACAGTGGCTGCAGCTCCTCTTGACCCTGCCTGTCCCTTGTCCCCCTCTGCAGGCGCCCAGGCAGCCATCGTCTTCATCAAGGAGCCGACCTCCCAGGATGCCCTGCAGGGGCGCCGGGCGCTGCTCCGCTGTGAGGTCGAGGCCTCAGGCTCGGTGCACGTGTACTGGCTGCTGGACGGGGCCCCTGTCCAGGACACCGAGCGGCGTTTCGCCCAGGGCAGCAGCCTGAGCTTCGCGGCTGTGGACCGGCTGCAGGACTCAGGAGCCTTCCAGTGCGTGGCTCGGGACAAGGCCACTGGAGAGGAGGCCCGCAGTGCCAACGCCTCCTTCAACATCAAATGTGAGAGCCGGGCTGTGCCCGCCCCCCGCCAGGCCCTCAACTCCTGAGCCCTGCAGGACCCTCCTTGCCTTCAGCTTCTCCCATTTCCAGCTGAATAGGGCAGCCGATGGCAGTGGTCAGCTCTTTCTGCACCATGGATCAGGGAAGATAAAAATTCTAATTTTTCCAAGCCCCCCCCCCCACCCCCGTCCCACCCCAGAGTCTTGGACCATTGATCTGGTGGACGCTTTTACAAATGGCAAGAACAGTGAGGCAGAGTGGCCAAGTGTCAGGCTTGACCTGCCAGGGACTAGCAGGCGCTCGGTCTCCGGTGGCCCGTCTGCAGCCCCAGCCTCAGCGTCACAGGGCTTCCCGGCACTGTCTTTTGGCTCAAAGCCTCCGGGTTCCACCGTTTTCTGCGTGTCCTCCTTCGCTCTGCCCTCCCACGCTTGCTCTGCTCTGCCCCTCACTGTGCAACCATGGCCTCTGCCGCAGGGATTGAGACCGGCCCTGTGGTCCTGAAGCACCCGGCCTCGGAAGCTGAGATCCAGCCCCAGACCCAGGTCACTCTGCGCTGTCACATTGACGGGCACCCCCGGTAAGGAGCCGGCTCTGAGGATGGGGGTGGGGAGGGTTGTTCTAGGCAGGGTGTTCCCCCAAATCTTGGACTCGATTCAGATGCATTTCTCTTCATTCTGGAACAACCCCTGCCCCCACGCTGCTCCGCACCAGCCCCTGGTGACCCAAAGGCCAACATTGTGTGCGGAGCGATCCTGGGTTCTGGGAGCTGAGAGATCTGGAATCTCAACATGATTCTGCCCCTAAATTGCTGTGTGCCCTTGTGCTGTGTGTCCAGGCCTGTTTCCCCACTTGCAAATTGAGGGGTCTCGCCCTGACCCTCTGATTCTGTATCCCACCCACCGGGCCCCCGAATACCCCTGCCTCCCTGTTGCTGACCCCCTCGCCCCACAGGCCCACCTACCAGTGGTTCCGGGATGGGAGCCCCCTCTCCGAGGGTCAGAGCAACCACACGGTCAGCAGCAAGGAGCGGAACCTGAGCCTCCGGCCGGCCGGCCCTGAGCACAGTGGCGTCTACTCCTGCTGCGCCCACAATGCCTTTGGCCAGACCTGCAGCAGCCAGAACTTTACCTTGAGCATTGCTGGTGAGCCTGGGCTGGGGATGGAGAGGTGGAGGGCCGGGATGAGAGGGGCCGACTCACCTGCTGTTCACGTGCTGCCCGTGCCTCTCCCCCCAAGATGAGAGCTTTGCCAGGGTGGTGCTGGCGCCCGAGGACGTGGTAGTGGCGAGGAACGAGGAGGCAATGTTCCACTGTCAGTTCTCAGCCGAGCCACCCCCGAGCCTGCAGTGGGTCTTTGAGGATGACACTCCCATCACTAACCGCAGCCGGTAAGGGGCCCTCCGGAACGGTGGTGCGGGTTGCGTATTCTCTAAAAGGGGATGCGGATCGTATCACAGACGTCTTACTTCAGTACATGTGTTACTCCAGAATTCCGGCAGGTGGCAGTACAGTGTCTTGTAGTCACTAAATGAGTCCAACAAAGGGAAGTCTCGGGGATGAGCATCTTTCTCTAGTTCCCACAAGGGCAGTGTATGAGCTGAGCTAGCAGTGGCTCTGCTTCGACCCATGTGGGTCTTCTGCCATCAGGGGTGGAGACCCAGGGATGGAGGGACACGGGATCTGGGTGATCACAGTCTGGATAGGATGGCAAAGGCACCTTTACACACTCACATACAGGACACACAGGCACACACATGCATGTGTTTTGGAGGAAGCAAACACTTCTAGAAGGTGCTGGGAGAGGCCAGCTCTTTTATAGGGACTTGTGTCCTCACCCAAGCCCCGTGAAAACAGAAAGCACCTTTGTGGTGCCAGGTGTGGCCATGGTTCTTAGGGTGTGGCTCCCTAGGCTCGGGACTTGGATACCACCTGGCTTCAGCCGCGAGGGCATCATCAGTTCATCTGGTGTGGCCGAGGGGCTTCTGACTGCTGGACTGGGTGCCTGACTGGCAGCTGATCTTTTTTTTTTAATATATATTTTATTGATTTTTTACAGAGAGGAAGGGAGAGGGATAGAGAGTTAGAAACATCGATGAGAGAGAAGCTTCGATCAGCTGCCTCCTGCACACCCCCCACTGGGGATGTGCCCGCAACCAAGGTACATGCCCTTGACCGGAATCGAACCTGGGACCCTTCAGTCCCCAGGCCGACGCTCTATCCACTGAGCCAAACCGACTAGGGCGTGGCAGCTTATCTTGACCCCGCAGCAAGGCGGCCCCTCTGTCCCCACAGTTGCACGCTGCCATTGCTCGCTCTCACGTAAACACTGCTGCTCGCATTGCCACTCCGAAAGCCAAGTCTCCTGTAGTTGGAACACACGCCTGCGCATGTACATGAATGGGTGCACACATGCACATGTACACACACACACACACTCACACACACTCACATGATGTGTTGGCTTCCTTCTCTGCCCTGTTCCTGGCTGATACCTTCCTACATCTCCAACCATCACCTTACCCTCTAGAAGGCGGCCTGTGGGCCACTTCTTCAGTCAGCTCTCTCTCCCCCTCCAGCCCCCCACACCTCCGCAGAGCCACGGTGTTTGCCAACGGGTCCCTGCTGCTGACCCAGGTCCGGCCGCGCAATGCCGGGGTGTACCGCTGCATAGGCCAGGGCCAGAGGGGCCCGCCCGTCGTCCTGGAGGCCTCACTGCACCTGGCAGGTGGGTCTCGGTCTCGGGTGCCGAGGTGGGGGCTGCCTTCAAAATGGTTGGCATGTAGAGATTTAGGTTCCTGTTTCCATTCAGAGAACAGCTCGGAGGACAGGGGGAGGACGAGGATGCTGAAGATTATTATAGGGAGAGTTTGTGTGGGAAAGGGCCAGAGTGTGCGGTGGGAGGACATCAGGTACCCTGAGACCCACTGTAACAGGGCTGTTTCCCTCCCGTGCACATCCCTGCAGAAATTGAAGACATGCCTCCATTTGAACCCCGGGTGTTCACAGCGGGCAGCGAGGAGCGTGTGGCCTGCCTGCCCCCCCAGGGTCTGCCGGAGCCCAGCATGTGGTGGGAGCACGCAGGAGTCCGGCTGCCCACGCACGGCAGAGTCTACCAGAAGGGCCGCGAGCTGGTGTTCGCCAGTATCGCCGAGAGTGATGCCGGTGTCTACACCTGCCACGCAGCCAACCTGGCTGGTCAGCGGCGACAGGATGTCAACATCACCGTGGCCAGTGAGCACCCGTGCCTTGAAGGCGGACGGGAGGTGGAGGGCCCAGGGCCGAGGGGGTCTTGGGCTCTGGGTGTGATGGATAGCTTCGTTGGTGCTCACCAAGGCCCTCTCAGCTCTGGGCCCTGCAGGCTTGGAAATCACTCAGCTGCTGGGAGGTGATGTTGGAGCCAGGCACGGAGGCTGGGGTGGCAGCCCTCTCAGAAAAGTGGTCCCCTGGCTCCAGAGGAAAGAGCAATGGAATGGAGTCCTAGAGACCCAGGTCCCATTCTGTCCCCGGTGCACGGAGTAACCATGCGTAGCGAATCACCCACCTTGCCAGGTCTCTGTCTCCTCATCCATAAAATGGGGCTCATAACTCACCTACCCTACAAGATGGTCGGAAAGATGAATGAAATAGATTGAAAAATAATTTCCTTTTGGGGAAGGTGATGGTGATAATTATTTTATTTGTTGTTATACTTTCCAGATTTCTACAATGAACGTATTACTTACAAAATAAGAGCAGGGAATAGCATTAACTCTTACACTGAACAGGCTGAAAGTGCATATGATAAAGACCGAGATGCCCTTGCTACAGGCATAGAGATTTATTTGTTTACTTTTTCCTTTATATCATGCCTGTTCCAAACCTTTGTGATAGTATAAAAGGATACACAAGACAAACTCTTACGTACATACACATACACACAAGTTTGCAACCTGCTGCTTCCACTTATGTCTACATCTTTTTAAGTGAGTAAATTTCAAAAATTCAAAAAGATTTTGAATATGGAAAGTACTTTGTTAATTTGAAGTTGTCACAACACTAATCCAGTTAAAATACTGAAACTTCAGAGTCCTGCTGTCCTGTGCTCAAGTACCTGGTTCAGGGGGCAGCCGCCGCACACAGGTAACGCATGCAGCACAGAGGGCACTCAGGACACTCCCAGCGGCGTGCAGACACATGCGAGCAGCTGCAGCCAGCCTTTCTCCAGTCTGGGTCTGTGGGTCATGTTTTTCTTTGGGCGCACTTTTTAAAAAACATATTTTTATTGATTTCAGAGAGGAAGGGAGAAGGGGAGAGAGATAGAAACATCAGTGATGAGAGAGAATCATTGATAGGCTGCCTCCTGCATGCTCCCTGTGGGGGATTGAGCCCGCAACCCAGGCATGTGCCCTTGATCAGAATTGAACCCAGGATCGTTCAGTCCACAGGCCGATGTTCTATCCACTGAGCCAACCCAGTTAGGGCTGGGCATTTTAAGAAATGCAGCCCTGGCTGGTGTGGCTCAGTTGACTGAGCATGTCCCATGCAGCAAATGGTTGCTGGTTTGATTTCCGGTCAGAGCACATGCCCAGGTGGCCGGCTTGATCCCTAGTAGGGGGCAAGAAGAAGGCAGATGATGGATGTTTCTCTCTCTCTCTCTCCCTCTCCCTCTCCCTTTCTCTCTCAAATCAATAAAACACATTAAAAAAAAATAAAAATGCAGAATCTGGGAGCCCATCCCAGATCTCATGACCCAGACTCTGTGGGGGTGGGCCCAGGTGGAGAGTTTAACAGGTGCTGCAGGTGCTGGGTAGCATGCCACAGGTGGGGAGGCCAGCTTTGATCAGCCGTTCGGCCGGCACTGCCTGAGCCAGGCCTTGAGTCCTGCGCTGCACTCTGAGGAGGAGGCCTGTGAAGTGAGACGTGCGTGACACTCAGGGCTGGGTGAGGTGGGGAGGGTGGAGGCTAGAGTTGGGAGAAGGGAGAGCTCCGTGACTGCATTCCGTCAACAGATTTATTGAGTGTGTTCATCGTGCTAGGCACTGTTCCCAGTCCTGGGAATGCAGCAGTGAACAAAGCAGACAAAATTCCCCCTCCTTCTGGAGCTCGTAGTCTGATAGAAGCAACAAAGCAAACAAGAAAAACAATTGAATGGACAAATAGGTAATTTTAGGCGGCAATGGAGCCATGAAGAAAAATAAAATAGGGTGACAGAGAGACACGAGGGCCAGGGGGAGTTTAGGGAGAACTTCTCCAGAGGGTGGCATTTGAGCTGATACTTAAATTAAGGAGGGAGCCACGTGGATAGGTCCTGAGACAGAAATGGGCTTGAATGTTGGAGGGACAGCAGTAGCCTGAGTGGCTGGAGTTGAATAAGTGGTGGTGAGTGTGGTTGAGGTTGGGAGATGGAGACTAGATCACGTGGGGCCATGCAAGAATATAGGCTTGTGCCGGCCAGTGTGGCTCAGTGGCCGAGCATTGATCCCTGCACCAGGAGGTGGCCGCTTCAACTCTGGGTCAGGCCATATGCCTGGGTTGCAGGCTTGATCCCCAGTAGTGGGCGTGCAGGGGGCAACCAATTGATGCTTCTACCTCTCCCTCTCCCTCGCTCTCTAAAGTCAATAAAAATAAAACATTAAAAAAAAGAATGTAGGCTTATATTCCAAGTCTATCAGTTATCTATTGCTGCCTAACAGATGACTCCATAACCAGTGGCTTGAAACAGTAGACATTGTTGCACTTAAGATTCTCTGGATGGGGTTCACCTGGGACGCTCCTCAGCCCCAGTGCCGCTGGCTGGGCTCGTTGGCATTTGCAATCAGCTGATGGGTCAGCTGGCGGCGGGCTCACCTGTCTGGCAGGTGGTATTGCGCAGGGCATGTCCGTTCTCTTCCCCTCGGCTGCTCTGGCAGGCTAGCTCGGGCTTCCTCGCAGGAAGGCTGGGCTCAGAAGGCGCACAGTGTCACTCCCACTGTTGGACAAGGCAGGCCACCCAGACTCCAGGAAGTAGGGGAACAGGCGGAGGGGAAGTGGCGACATTACGGTACAAAGAGACCGAAGGGACGGGAGGGCTGTTTACACCCATCTCTGCAAAGTCTCTCACACCACGTCAGGGCGGGAAGTCCTTGCAGGGTGTCGAGTTGGAGAGTGACATTTTCCAAAGGTCACACTGGCTGTTCTGAGAAGGCTAGAATGTTAGGGACAAGAGTCAAAGCGGGGAGACCAGTTAAATGACTGTAATTGTCTAGGGGACGGGTTCAAGGGGCTGGAACAGGGGTGGTGGAGGTGAGGTCAAACTCAGCATTTTGGAGCTAAGGTAGAATGGGCTGTGTAGAATAAGTGTGAGGGGGTGGGAGTGGAGAGAAGTCAAGGCTAGGTTTTTGACTTCTGCAGTTGCTGGAGAGTGGCTATATTTACTGAGGTGGGGAAATGGGGGTGAGCAGGTTTTGGGGAAATCGGGTGTTCTTTGCACATCTGAAGTTTGGCTTTGCAAGTCTGAAGTTCATGGGGGGGCGGTCAGGCAGTCAGGGTACACGTGTGAGAGTCATCCACTCATAGGGTGTTGAAGGCCGTGGACTGGATGAGATCATTCAGGGAGTGAGTATGGCGCCAACAGAACAGAGAGCTGAGGCGTTCTAGTGTCACAAAGAGCAAGGACTTTGGAGTCATACAGACAAGAGTTTTCAGTCCTGTCTCTGTCGTGTTTTAGCAAATCGCCTTGAACCCCTGTCTTAGCTGTAAATGGGTAAAGAAATCCATACCTTGGGCGTTCATTGTGATCGTTAACCAGGACAACGTTCAAAAAGTGCTGGCACGTCGGCCACCGCTAAGGATCAGTGCTGCAGTTAATAGACGGGGGCGCTGAACTCAGGGCCTGATGTGGTGGTAGGATTTCTTGGGGTTGGATCCTTTGGTTTTGCGGACGTGGTATCATCAGCCTTCGCCGTTTCCTCCCTGTCCCTGTAGCTGTGCCCACGTGGCTGAAGAAGCCCGAGGACAGCCAGCTGGAGGAGGGCAAGCCGGGCTACTTGCATTGCCTGACGCAGGCCACACCGAAGCCCACAGTCATCTGGTACAGAAACCAGATGCTCATCTCGGAGGTGAGGGTGAGGCTGGCTCGGGGGGTGGGGTGGACCCCCTCCCGCCGCTCCCTGGAGGTCCCCTCCACGTTGCTCTTTCCCGAGGCTCTCCTCGGGGCCGCGTGGTGGGGGTTCAGGCCAAGGCTTGTGTTGCAGGACTCTCGGTTCGAGGTCTCCAAGAACGGGACCCTGCGCATCAACAGCGTGGAGGTGTACGACGGGACCTGGTACCGCTGCGTGAGCAGCACCCCAGCCGGCAGCATTGAGGCCCAAGCCCGTGTGCAAGTGCTGGGTGAGCTGGCGTGCGGGGGAGAGCGCCCGGCCTGGTGGGCGGCAGAGGAACGGGAAGGAGCAGCAGGTCTAGGACCTTCAGGCCTGTCTAGCTGCCTCAGTGCCTCCTTTCCACCCACCTGCCCTCCCTCTGCTGAAACAGAAAAGCTCAAGTTCACACCACCGCCCCGGCCGCAGCAGTGCATGGAGTTTGACAAGGAGGCCACGGTGCCCTGCTCAGCCACAGGCAGAGAGAAGCCCACGATTAAGTGGGTACGAGCAGGTCAGTACCGTGTGAGCCTGGGGCAGGGGGGAGTGAGCAGGCAGGACCGTCTAGTGGGCAGATGTGTTGATGTCTGAGGGCCAGCTGAGTGCCCAGCATCATGTCAGGAACGGTGGGGACAGACAAGCAATGTAGGGCAGATTGTAGTCCCGTTAGGAAGAGAAAAGCCAGATACAAAAGAGGCCAGATTATACTGTTAGCACCTGAGACGCGTCAGGACAGTGATTGATTGGGCCAGACAGCACTGTCATGCCCTTCCTTGTCCCTTTTCAAAATCGTCATCCTTTTTGACATAAAAAGCAACCTGGGCTCCTTTAGAAAATATCAGGAGAAAAAAAATACACAATCCCACCATCCATTATCTGTGGGTGTGTGCCCTTTTTCTTTTTCTATGCATATCTTTGTTTTTACAAAGCTATTCTATTCACTTATTAAACTTGTCATACTTACTATATAAAAATAGAAGATGCAAATAACTATGCAACCTTGTATTCCTTTTTAACTAACAGTATGAAGCATCGCCCCATCGTTTTATACATGAACATTGGCTTTGATGAGTGCGATAATATTCCAGTAATTGGATTCACTATAATTTACTTAAATATTCTCTAAATGTTGGAGATTTGGGTTGCTAATCATCCTTCCTCCATCCCTCCCCTCCTCCTCCCTCTCTGTCTTTCTCTTTCTCTTTTTATTGCTGCAATAAACATCTTGAAGCCAAAGTTTTTTCTGGATTTGGGTTTATTTCCTTTGGGAAAGATTCCCAGAAATGGAATAATTATGTATAAAAGGGTATGCACGTTTTTACAACCCTTGGTGCGTGTAGCCAAATTGTTTTTTAAAGGGCTGGACCAGTTTTCACATTCCCGTGAGCAGTGAGAGTTAGAGAGGAGGGTGTCGGTTTTGAGGAGGAAGTGGGTCTCAGTTCAGGTGGTCTGGGGCCTTTCCTGTCGTGTGGCTCACAGTGGATCTGAAGCCTGGGGTGGCGGCAGAGAGCGGGGGTGGGCTCCAGGAGGGAGGAGTGGCGGGCAGTGAGGTGACAACAAGGCAGATTCGATGCCCAATCAGAAGTGCAGTTTGGCAGAAGTGGAATGTTACACAGGCAACAGATGGAGGTGAGGATGAAAAATTGAAAAAGGAATAGATAATGGGGGGTTCTCGATGCCTGGCTCGAGTTTGGGCTTTGTCTGTAGGTACTCAGGAGTGATGACATGGTTTTGAGTAGATGCGAGTGACTGAGGGCATTGCCACCATGTAGCTCTGGTCAGTCCCATAACCTCCCTTCGTTGCCCCTGCAGATGGGAGCAGCCTCCCAGAGTGGGTGACCGACAACGCTGGGACGCTGCACTTCTCCAGGGTGACCCGCGATGATGCCGGCAACTACACTTGTATTGCCTCCAACGGGCTGCAGGGCCAGATCCGTGCCCACGTGCAGCTTACCGTGGCAGGTGCGACGGTGGCAGGGCCTTGGGACTGGGGCTGGCAGGCCCCGTGTGGCAGCAGCCTGCATCCTGCCAGCCCCAGTGCTCACGGCTCCCTGCCCCTCGCGGGGCTCTTCCCATCCAGTTTTCATCACCTTCAAGGTCGAGCCGGAGCGCACAACCGTGTACCAGGGCCACACGGCTCTGCTGCGGTGCGAGGCCCAGGGGGACCCCAAGCCGCTCATCCAGTGGAAGGGCAAAGACCGCATCCTGGACCCGACCAAGCTGGGACCTCGGTAGGGCCGTCTCCCTCCCACACTCACCCCTCCTCTCCGCCGCCCGGTCTCCCGGCAGCCGGCGAGGCGGGCAGTGCTGTGGCTTCTCTCCTGGCAGGATGCACATCTTCCAGAACGGCT